AAATTTGATTGACAATAATTAACTTGGACGCTTCTCATTTGTAATAGAGATTATTAGAGGAGAAGGACGATTACGATGAAGATATTTTGCTCAAACAACAACAACAACAACAATCATTATTTGTACTACCTCTTGCTCAAAAATGAATTATGACAATGAAAATGTTAAAAGGAAAAATTAGAGTACTAATAATAATCACGTGTTCCCCCAAAAAAGACACCCCCGGAAAGCTTCATTTCACTTTGTTTTACCAGAAACGTTTAGCCCCGTCTCGATCGCAAAATGATTGAACTTCCAACATCTTTGTTTTCGTCACAACGAAACTTCCACTATAAAATGGAATGAAGACAGCTATCAAGTTTTCCCGCCAGAATTATGTTCTACTGGTTTACGAATGTTAAGAAAATCTCGTAGCCTTCCTCGTCTTAGGGCCTGTTTACATGGAGTGGGGGATCCCGGTCTAGTGGGTTTGGTTTCTTTTGTTTTCACGCTCTGGGGAACACAAAACAAAAGAAACCTACCCCACTAGACCAGGGTCTCCCACTCCATGTAAAAAGGCTCTTAGAATCACCACATTCGACTGATAGAGATCTTAAAAAGCTCTGTCAATTTGAATCACTCTTCTGAATACCCCTTCAACGAATTTGAAGTCATTTTGAATAAAAACGGTTAAAGCGAATAATACGAAACCCTGAAGACCAACAACTGGCTGTCAATAAAATTCCTGTCAGTAAAAAAAAAACACTGATAAAAACTTAGGTTGATTTCTGCTTGCTACCACTATTAAGGATAAAACTATGTTTGGAAAGTTTTTCTCTTACTGTTCAGATTAAAGAGCATGTTAAGCATCATCGAGTGGCCTTTATAATTCAAATCTATCTCTTTTTACCGTGATCATGTTCAAGGAAAGGCTTTACTATCTACATCAATATGTTATTTACGCTATAGTTCCTCGTTAGATATCTGTTACCATTTAAACCATTTCGCTTTGATGAGTGTGGTAACAAAAAGAGCCAATAGTGTGCGAAAGTAACGAGTAAATATGCTATCATATATGGGCAAATTAATAATACAATATCAGCAAAGAATAACTGATGTGTGATCATAAATTATGATATGAATAAACCATTTTGGCATGCTTCTAAATTCACTTTGTAATGACTTAGAGACATGATTACTCCTTGGGCTTTTGACGATGTTCAATCTTCTGTGCTTGATTTATATTCCAGCTGTTTTAGGTAAGTCTCCTATCATCTTAGGCGCATATTCGAGTAAAATATACCACAACCGTAGCTAGTACGGGTTTTTGAATAAAGAGTTTAGCTCGCATAGTCGTTAATAAATAAAATAGGTCAGTTGTTAAGCTACGTGCAAATGGACGCAACAACTCCCAACATGTTGGGAATTGTTGCGTCCGTTTTCACGCAGCTAAACGATCGAGCGGTTTCAAACTTTGTGCAACAACTTTCAACAGCACGCAACAAAATGCAACAGGGTGTGGAATCGGAGGCAGCAAGTAACATCCAAAATGATTTCATTTAATGTGCACGGGGATTTAAAACAAAAAATCAAATTGCCTGGTTTAGTTGTTGTTGTTGTTTTTTCTTTACATTTGACGTAATCGTATTCGAAAACAAAAGAATAAAAAGCACCAATACTTCTATAAAGCTTTTCAGATTAACGGTTTATAGACAGTAAGACCTTTTGATCTATCATCTTTCTCATTTCACCTTTATATGGTTACTCTGAGTCTTGTGATGAAAGGAATTAAGGTTAATTAAATTACCAGAGGATAATGTCGTTCTGTGTTTGAAAACTTAGGACGCGCACAGTTTTAGAGGATTATAAAACAAGAAGTTTGTAACTATCTATTAAAAGTGAAGAGTGGTAATATCGTTCTCACAGCAAAATGCGACGGCATATTCTTCGGGAGTTTTCGGCCATTATCAATGTTTTCTTCCCCTCGGAAGGAAACCAACATAGCTTCTTCATCTTTGTAATTTTGGGAAAATCCTTAAATAAGAATGGACGAGACTAGGTTTATTGAGCCCGCGAGACTGAGCACACTACCCAAACTCTTATTTTTATTAAAATCGCTGGATGCCACAACCTGGTTGAGGTCATTGTTATCGAGGGTCTTCCTAATTGTGGGGATAAATTCTTGGGGAATGATTCGCGTTTAGACGAAGCACGCGGACCCGACTCATGGAAACATTAATATCCTAATTTTTGACTTTTAAATGAGTGGATTCTGGTTTCACTACAGTTGAACATCAATATGCGATCACCTCTCGTAAGCGACCAGCTATCTAAAGTATTAAAATTATCTTAGTTGCTTCTACGCGGTAATGGTTCTTCAAAGCCCTGGTTTGATTCTCGTAAATCACCGCATCAAGTGATCGATCACATTTCTTCACACCTTGGATGGTCGTTCGTTTGCGGGAGGTTCGACTAAGTATCATTGAACCGCAGTCACAAGCCACGATTTATAGTGCGACATGTAATCTTATCCTAATAATTATTGAGGGCGAGGATCTTCAACGACCAGTTTCTGTTTTGCCTCCTTCCCTCTGAAAACTGTAAATGTCGGTTGCAATTCAAAACATTTACAATTCCTTTTCTTCTTTTTCTTCTTCTTGATTCCCAAGCATACGGTTATTCGCAGCTCAAAATTTCTTTCATGATTACCTCCATCTTTAAGGGTTTGTGTAAAAATAGAATACTGACATAGTATTAAAATGGCACACTGAGCATGGTCGATGGTTCCAGTTCCTTCTTAATTGAATAAATGACGTCATGCTGACATTACTGCCATACCCTGTGTGCATACCCTTCTCGATGATAGTAGAAGTCAGTACGCAGGAAATCGATCTTCCGTGTCAAAGAACAAACAGACAAAGAGTCAGTTTTTTTTAAGAGAAGCTGTTTTGGAGTCGAATTTTGTTTTCTTTTGCTTCTTTTTTTCGAATTGTATGTACAGCCTTTAAATGTCGAAGGCGTGGAAGGCTGAAAAATTTGACACGACAAGAACCTGGTTGAGTTAGGTGCCGTCATTGTTGCTGGTCAAGCCATAATGACATTATTGGCTATATTACCTAATAAAGTTTTTTTTTCGTGCTATTATTTTAGATGTTGTTTCAAGTATCACTTGGTATGAGCCTCTTCCAGTTAGGACAGTAAGAGATCCCAGAGTGGTTCACGCAACCAGCATTCAGCTCCCCGAAGGATCTGTTAATGAGCAATTGAGGTGGAACTTTATATATTAGTCTTTCAAAGTTCTTTTCTTTCCAAGTCTATTTATTTTTTTGATGGTGCATACGCAGCCCTCATTGATCATGGCACGACAGGATTTGTTGGGGTATACGAGCGCTTTATTTCAAGGTTTAACATAAGTTGGATCCCTCCATCTTATGCTACATTGATTATCTTCAATGTAACTACTGCTGACAAAGGAACATTTAGCTTTGAGGTCTGGTCTTATGAAACGAAGATTTCACTAAAAGTATGGAAATGCGACCTCAAAGTGACTATTGTAGGTATGCCAATTAGTTCATGTTCCGCCAGTAAACTCAATAATGAAAAGTTCATCATGTTCACATACTATTTTCGTAATTCACTGATTACAGAAGTTTTGATTCCTTTTCTTTACTATAGGCTCATTGTGCTAATACTCTTTAATTAACATGGTTTTTTTTGTAGTGTCTGATACGAAGAATCAGCCTTCTGCCTTGCTGGATAACATCTTTCTCTATCTGCATATAATTCCTCAAACATCATACTAAGGCCAAATTCAATAACTGTTTCATTTACCATTCAAAATATTTCTAGGTTTTTATCATACTTCAATTTCTCTTTGGATCGTTGACTTTCTTCAAAACATTTTCCTGTTTCAGTGCAGTTTTAGAATATTATGAACAATTGTCTTCTTTCAGATACTCCTCAAAAGAAAATCACACCCACTGAGCAATATATTTTGAATCTCAATATATTTTGAATCTCTTGGCAGTAAAGCCAAACAAACGGAATATTTTGAATGCACGTCCGATAACATACAATAAATCAATTTCTTCTTTTTGATTCAATCATTTCCTGGATTCTATGAGCACTACAATACGGAACGGACAACATATGTCACATATGCGTTCCACACAACAGGGACCGATCTAGGATTTTTCTTAGGAAGGGGTGTACCACTAAGGAATGGCGTAACTGACTGGTGACGTAAACAAATTTTGAAAGCGAATACGAAGAAGAAGGCTTTTGACTAGGCAATAACATAATATGAACTGCTGATAATACATATCATATATGTCGGCATATTTTGCAGAATACCAGTTGTGTTAGAAAGCCGCAGGTCAGTTTTTTAACAATAGAAATTAGCCGAATACAATTTATTTAAGTGTCTGCATCCGCTTATAGAGGTGTCTGCTGAATAGGAGTTCGTTATAGAGGGAAATCAAAGACGTTAATTTCGGGACCCGGCTTAGTGCCGGCTTAATAGAGTATGTTCGCTTAATTAGGTGTCCACTTAGAGGGACAGTGTCCCGATTATGTGCACACGTACGCCATCTGTTTTTTCTTCAAAAGACAATAGACCGTCATAATTGACTCAACGAGATTTCCTTCCGGACTACACCACCGACGGATCCGCCCCTCTTAACGTCCTCTGCTTATAAATGTCAAAGATAAAGACAGACCAGAGTACAGACTGGGAGCAGTATACAAGATAAAATGAGCTACTACAAGGAGGCCTCTTACATTGACGAAAACGGCAGAAGCCTTAACACGCGACTGACTGAGCACAAAAAAAGAAGAGAAAAGATGATCTCAGCAATCTTATTGCTGAACACCGATCGATTTAAACAACAACCATCACAACGGTGGGACTCTAAGAAACACATTTACATATTTTGGAGTTTACTACTGAGGACTACACTCACATTGACGAAAATATTCCACTTATAAAATTGGCTTATCGAGTTTAGGCTATTTGGAAAGTTATGATTTATGACAGTAGCTTAATTCGCTCTTTGAGAGCCTGTTTTCAGTGGATTTTGCATTTTTATTATCCTAATAATAATAATAATAATAATAATAATAATAATAACTAATTATTTGCCGCCCACTGCAAACGGATGCATGCAACATTGATGATTGATGGCCAACAAATCCCAACCGGCAATTGGACGCTATATGTTGCGTCCGTTTGCGCACCCTGTTGGATGTTGCGTGTTTTTGGGAGTTGTTACGCCAAACTTGGAACCAGTGAAACTTTTAGCTATGTGCAAACAGACGCAACAACTCCCAACAATGTTGGGAGTTGTTGGCCAACATTGTTGCGTCCGTTTGCACGTAACTCAACAACAATAATGTAATAATAATAATGATATTAATCTTTATCCCTTTAAAGCTCCCGCCAAGTTCATTAATGTAAGCAGTGATCAGTCTGTTATTGAAGGCGGTAATCTACTGCTAGTTTGTGAAACATCTGGAAAGCTAGCACCAAACATCACTTGGACCAAAATAGGACAGGAAAGCGGCGAAAACAAAATACTGCACTTGGGGACCAGATACAAAATTGAAAATGTTAGTCGTAGTGATGCTGGAACATACCGTTGTACATCATTCAATGGAGTAGGAAATTCTGTTAGTCATTTACTTACAGTTGATGTTATATGTAAGTATGGCTATAACTTTAAGTCCTTACAGTTTTTTATCGTAAAGTCAGTTAGTTACTACTAAGTCTAATTATCAATCAAATCAAGAAGTGTGATATGACTTCGATTCATATCACGTAAAACAAAACAAAGCAACAGGCTGTGATCTCATTCCTCAAAGTGGAGTGAAGCTGTCTGCTGATGTTCTGTGTTATCCAATAAGCACATTGATCAACTACGTTTTAAACAATTCAAAAATACCGCAGCAATGGAAACTCGGTGAAGTTACACCCGTGTTTAAAAAGGACTGTAGCCTGGACAAATAAAATTACAGGCCAGTGACCATCTTACCCTTACTTTCAAAAATGTTTGCATCAATAGTGCATGCCCGACTTAGTCGTCATTAAAAACATATATCACAAATACACCTAATTGCAATAATGTTGTCATAGAAAAAAGCAAAAAGCAAAAAGCCAAATAGGAATAAATTAGCCATGTGATTTACATTTGCGTATTTTATTTATTTAACAATTATTTAAGAATTCATTCACAATAACAAGAGATAATTCTGTAATTCCGCGCTGTATGATAGACAGGCGCCATAGTCATTTTAATTCAGAGCCAACATTCTCCATCAACAGAAGTCGCACAATTCGAAAAAGAAAAAGGTAAATTGACGCGAGCAATGTCATGTCTCAGTTGTCACACTTTCAGTCGCCAATCTATTATGTCCTGACAAACGAAGCTTGGTTTGTGGCTCAGGTGAGGAACTGGCGGAGGACCGCCTTACCCTCTCCGCGATGAGAATTCCTGCCTATGCTCCTGATTTGTTGCTTGAAAATTGTGATCAGATGGTGTTGTGCACTGCAAACCATACGCAGACTGGCTTTTCTATTTAGCACTAATCTAAAACACGCGTCGCGTTCCTGGAATTTACCCCAGGCTATATTTATCAAAAAAATGGAGCTATTATTTCTTTAGTAGCTATCCGATTTACCTTTGTAATTCGAGCACGTTTGAAATTCGCCGGAAGAATCAGCCTCGAATTGCATTAGAATGACACCGAGAAACAAACGCAAATGATTTCTCTCATATTACGTGATTCAGCTATAAGCGTTTGTGTTGTGAATGTTGCAAGCTATGATAATTAGATGCTAATTCATTCCTATTTAACTTTTTGCTTTTTGCTTTTTCCTATGACAACCTTATTGCAATTAGGTGTATGTGTTCGCATATAGGAAACACTGTGGATGTGACACTGCTATTCTTAGTCTAACAGAACGATGGAAACAAGAGCTTGACAATCATGAAGTAATCGGCGTAATGTCAATGGATCTATCAAAGGTCTTTGACATTCTGCGGCATGATCTGATAGTACTGAATTAAAGCAACATCAGGTTGACAACAAAATTATTAACCTTATAAAGGACTATCTCTTTAATGGAAGGCAACGGGTGAAACTACATGGCAGGATATAACGACTGGAATTCCCCAAGGATCCATACTTGGCCCTGTTCTATTCAACATATTTATGAACGATCTTGTTTACGTGATAAAGCGTAGTAACCTATCGACCTACGCAGATGACACACAGATTTTCTTTGGCGATAAGGATCCTTTGATAGTCCAGGAAAGCAGAAATTCGGACTTATCATACGTAGATAAATGGTTTTTGGAAAAGGGCGTGAAAAGAAACTATTCTGAATACCAGGCTATGGTGATGGGCCATAAGAAAGTTAATCCGAAATTTCGCTGGGAAAATAACGTCATTCCAAAGAGGCGATGTGCTACAGATGCTTAGAGTTACTGTTGATGATATGTTCAAATTCGATAAGCAAATCGCCAATATCTGTAGAAAAGAATCTCAACAAGTTGCAGTTTTAAGGTGTTTTGATACAGTTTTTCAGAGGCCATACCGATATTTTTCAATCGCCTTAAAAGTGGTTTTTTCCTTGTCCAGAAATTGGCTATGGATTGAAATTTGTGAAAATGCAGTTTTAAGTAAAATAAAATGGTGCGCATTATTTCGGAAAAATTAGCATAACGTCAAAACAGTGAATGTTGTAACGCAGATTTTTGACAGGTTCGTAGGATAGGTTTGTCTTGAAATTTCAAGGTGTTGCAGTGAATCAATCTTAATGAAAGTTTCAGACATTATTATATACATTATGAAAAGATTGCGCATGAGAAATATACTTCCTTTCGATTCAAGAAGGAATATTTACATATCATTTATTGAACCACATTTCAATTACTGTGCACAAATCTGGCATTTCTGCAATAAGAGTTTGGCTGAAAAACTGGAGAAAGTAAATGAAAGAGCATTTCGGTTTGTTTTTAGAGACAAACACATTACATATGAAGAACTTTTTAAGCTTTTATGTAGAAGAACCCTGAAGGAGCAGCGATTGAGTAAAATTCTCTGTTCGGTTTTTAAACTCGTAAATAATAAAACGAATCCGGAGAGCTTGGATGAGTTAATCCCATTACGAGAAACAACATATGCCTTGAGAGGAAAGGACATTTTAAAAGTGCCAAAGGTCAACACAACACGCTTTGGACTCAATTCCTGGCGGTACCGGGCGCCCAAGATATGAAACAACTTGCCTGATGTCGTAAGAACGTCGTCCGATTTTAAAACGTTCAAAAAACTGTTAGAAGACGAGTCATTATTTTAGTACCGACGAATCGCCTTTTTTCATCAATTTTGTAAATAATTGTTAATAGTATTTATGTATTATAACTTAATTTTAATTGTAAATAGATTTTATATTGTTTTAATCATTTTTATTCTATAATTTTTTATTTACAGTGGCATACCTGTGAATTAGCTGGTGAAGTTTTCTTCTTTAATTAAGCCATGTAACTAAGAGTATGCGCCACTTAAAATAAAACATCGTATTATTTTATAACAAAGACTAAAGATTGTTTCTGGGATATTAAGGCCTGGATTTATCACTTGCACAACGCTTTTAAGCTACCAATTACTGAAACACACAATAATAATATATTGTTTTCAATTGCAATAGATCCTGCAAAAATCATTAAGTATCAAAACGGTACTGTCCAAGTCGGCGGAAACACAGCACTAGTTTGTCTGGCAGAGGGTTATCCTGCTCCAAATACAACATGGATACGAGATAATTCACGCGAGATCGTTGGCTTTGGAAGTACCCTACAGTTTTGCTCAGCTCAGGGTTCCGATACTGGAAGTTATACTTGCAGTTCAACGAACACTGCAGGGTTTACAGACAGTGCAAAGGTTTTTCTTAAAGTTACATGTAAAAGCTGAATTTAATATCACTAATATATAAATTTAGCCAGGGTTAAAAGCGAAGCTCTTGTTAATATAATTTTAGTTCACTAAAACCAAAAATTTAAATTGTATAATTCTAAACGGCGAAGGCAAAGAGAACAGCTTAAAAAAAACAATAGGTCTAATTAGCAAAAAAAACAACAACAACAACTTTGCACGTGCAGCACACTTTTTGGCACATTTCTTTGCCATTGTTTTGCACGACTAAAACGTGAGACTTGTTAGTTACAAATTTTATGGAAGCAATTCCTCATGTGTTTCTGTTTGCCTTTTTTAACTGCCGTTTATTTTCACCTTGATGGCCGCTAATATTTCTTACCGCCACTATAGAATTTTCATCTTTCTCCTCTGACAAACCTCGTTTCCTTCGTCTTATTATCTCTCGCTCTAGCGCTAATAGGGCTAAGGTTCATGTTAGGTTTTGTTCTTATTTTCACGTTCCCGTTTCCCGTTCCCCATTTCCCGTAATCCCCAAAACAATTTTGACTACGAATTGAAATATAAGCACAAGCGAGACACCATTCAGGTGCTTTTTTAACATACTTGTTCTTTAATGTGTTTGCTTCAGAACGTAAACGAAGACGGATCATTGTTAGCATGACAATAGCTAATGAAGAATATAATGAGAGCCTTAAAGACTTATTAGTAGGTGCTATGTATTGTGAAACCTGGGCTTTTTATAATCTTCTGTTTTTCCTTGTGACTGTCGATTCAGTGACATGCGAACAGCAGACGCATTTCCGGTCGTCGCTTCTCTCCCTCCGAAAAATAGCGTCTGCGAACCCGAGCGGGAAAACGATTTCCGTGACGTAAAACCTTTTTAGCCAATCATGATTAAGCTCTTAAAATCAAGGAACTAACTCGCGAGACTTCTCGCAAGATCGTGCGCGGTGGATATGTTTACAAGTCGAAATTGAAAGGACGACGTGGCTTGTGTATAGCCGCCCTTTTTTCTCAAATCGACGCGTTTAAGAAAGTTAATTTGCCAAGATCGTGGGACTGATTGATGAAATAAGCATCAAGAGGATTCACTTCGAAGAAAAGATTTGAGGACATTTTTTATCTATTTGCCTACGAAGTCAATGATTTATCACACCTAGTTGTTTTGATTCCAGGTTTAATCATATTCGAAACGATAAATGTCCTAATGACAGTAGACGCATCATTTGTTTGTTGCTTCTGTTCCTTTCTGGTTCCTGGCAGGAAAGTATGCTTCGGAGAACTCTTCGTTAGTTTATCGTGTGCCTTTAGACATTTTTTTGTTTGAGTAGATATCCTTTATCTTTAAAAGCTATGACGTGTGATAATCGATTTCCCATGCGTAGTTGCTTCTTGGTTCAGACAACTTTGATCAGATCGAAAGCATTTTATATTTGTTATTATATTTCTTTAAATTCATGTTCTTCTCAAGGTTTTAACTTCCATAGTTTTTTATGAGATGAGTCGAAGCGTCGTAGCTGAAATGTCATCTTGACTATGATCAATTTACTGCTGTAACTATTAACTATTTATTTCACGCTGGGTCTGGCGCAGGTTTAGTTTATAATATTTCAGATCATTGTGTTGTGGCGATACTAGAATTATTAACGAGCGATTGTCAGAGAATTGTGAATCAGTTGTCCAGGTTTTTTTTTTATGTCACGTACTACCGTATTTTATAAAGCGAAACCAAAGGCCCACATCACATACATAGCTTCAGAAGCAGTTGCTTCATAAAGAAGTCAGCATTCAACGTCGCAGGAACCCTTGTTATGGTGGCGAAATTCACG